TCCCTCCCTGCCCCATTACTGACCCAGAAAACCTCTCACTCCCCTGTCATGGACACAGCAAACTTCTCCCTCTCCTGTCACAGACCTGGAAGACCCCACACCTCCTGTCTGAACTGCGGCACTTGGTGCCCTAGGACCCTACGGCAGGCTGGTGTCAGCATCACAGGCTTACAATTGCTCAGCTCAAACATATGTACAGGGCCCTCCGGGTAAGCTTTTCCACCGAGAGAACAAACCGAGTAGAATTCTCCTAGATTATTTGAACGTGTGTACAAAGCATCTGTTAGTTCCAAAGATGATGAATTATCCTTGCCCTGCCAAGCACCTCTGCTCTGACACCATGCCCTTCCCCTGCCTTGCAAAAGTCAGCAGCCATTTAAGCTTGTGCATGACAAACTTATCTGAGATGGGGTAAGGTACTGCATCAAGGAGAGGCAACAAATAGGACAGATCTAGGATTTTGAAAAGGGGGTGCATTTAATTAGGTGCAACATATAAAACATGTTTCCTCCAGTTAAAAATAAACTAGAAGCTTTACTAATATGCTAGGGGTCTAGCACTGTATTATGCAGCTTAAGATAGAAACAAAAGCAAATTTCATTGGAAAGAGTTAAAAACAATCTGCAGAGTTGTGAAATAGAAGCTTCATTTCCAGGAGCAGCTAACAGATAGCAGAATTGCAGGACAAAGGATCGCTTGATTGGTGAAACGTCAAGACCATTAAAAAGAAGTGAGAGCCATTAACACCTGTGAAATGAAGTTTAGATGGAATCAGGCAGATTGTGACTCACGAAGTCAGCTGACTCCCTCAACACTGTCTGACTAGAAATGCTACTGCTACTGCCAGGCACTTGGTTTTAAACTTGCAGTGGATCAGGGTGCAATTGCACCAAGGCACCACTGCCTGGATGCATCCCTGGAGTAACACAAAAAAGATACATCTGCTTCCTGCTTCCTTTGGTGTTACTCCTCCTCCTTTGGTTTCACTCCACAATCCCTTTGGAGTTCAATTCCTATACTGCATCCTCAGACAGCAGGAGTAAGTGGCAGTGATTTTATAAAACTGGAATTTTTGTTTTTCTGTGCTTATTGCTTTCACCATAGATTTGCCACAGCAGCCTCTCTTCTCCTTGTGAACAATAATGACAGAAATAAATGTGTATTAATAGTGTCAAACTGATACCCCATAGATGTTGAAGAACAGATCAGACATAATGTGAATGAAAACAAACTTCCTAACAGTGCCCTGACTATGTGCCACAATCTTATTCTGGTTTCTAGGATTACTCTTGTGTAGCAGAGTGATGAGCAGGGCTTTGCATCCCTCCTTCAGCCCTGACTGTGCCCCATGGCATGGTGGGGAACTTGGAAACTGTCGATTGCTGCGTTTGGGAGAAAACCTGGCCTGGAGAACTGAGAAGCTGCAGGTTGCCAGGTGGGGAGAAAACCCGGCCCAGAGGGGATCCTGGGGAGGCCGGAAAAATCTCACACAAGTGAACTCACCTGTGGGTGTGGCAGAAAGGCCAGTTGATTGGTCACCCGGTGTCTGGAAGAATTAAAGGCAGCTGTCTCTGACTAAAAGAAGGGGGTGAGAGGGAGTGGAGGCTCCCAGCTGCAATGCTTTGGGATATGATGAAAGGGCTGGATGGCCTCAGCTTTTTCTGTTATTGTATATTTCTGTTACAGCAGTGGATGTGGAGGAAGTATACAGGCGGCAGAGGTCCCAGCCAGCAGTGTCCTGTTTAAACACATGGGGCAGCCGAGCCAGCAAGTCTAGGCAGTCCTTAAAGGGACAGGTCCCAATTTGGATAGTGACTAGGGCAAGTGATAAATCCTACCTGCGGAAGGATTGCGTGTAATAACAGTGAACTACCTCCTGTTATGTGAATTAAACTTAGAGTCATGGCAGGTGAGAATAACATGAGGTGACACCTAGAGGACAATTCTGGTCAAGGGCAGTACCCAGCCCTGGGCACTTACCCCTGATGCACCCACACTCTGTTTTAGTAAGCTTGTAATATTTTTTAAATTCCTACCTCTCTACTCAGACTGTTAAAGAGTTCCAAATAGTTCTAGTTCAGATAATGGATTATTAAAAATTATTAAGAACTACTGGTTATTAAACTTGCAAGAGCAACTAATTTATTAGAAAAGTGTCATTACAATGAATGGAAACAAGTATCAGTGACCATAGACTTGGACCAGTAACCTAAATATTACTAAGGATATGGAGTCCCTGCATTTTATTACAAGACTGCTGTCTTCAAGGCCTTCATTATATGCTGTTTAAATGAAAGTACTATGTTTAATGAATGTGTAACAGTTGACATTTATTTAGTTTCTAGTTCACTATAATAGAAACAGGCGGCATTTTCTTGAAGTCATCTTATATCCTACCACCCCTCTCTTTCCTCTCCACTGCTTTTATCTGTGTTACTCTAGATTTTGTCATCTGTCTTTCTCTTCCCTCCATTTAAAGCTGGGCTCCCATAATAATATATTTGTTAGTTCAATCAGTTTTATGTTGGCTGGTAACTTTGTACCTTTTTCTCAATCTCCCCTTAGTAAAGGATGTGAAGATGCAATTTTTTGTTGATAGTTATAAGGAATCAATGGCTAGAAGCAACAAATGTACAGATTTGGAAATAGGAAAAATTAAATTTCTAGCACAGCAGAGAATCTCTTACATATATCAACTGAGAAGCGTCTTTAATTTTGGTTAGCGGGAGATAAATTGGAAGCCAGTTGTTACTCTTTAAAAATCCTGCTTCTTCTGACTCCTGCAGGCTTTCTAGGTGTCTATTTAGAATCTGTTTGATACAATATTAACGTCAGGGTGGTATATGTTTCTGACATTTCCTACTAGTTCTTCATCCTATTTTAGACCAAAGTCTTCGCCTAGTTGCAGCTTTGTGAATCCTCTTCTCAGATTCACCTGATATCCTACTGGTTCTCACTGGTATGCAGGGTGCCATTTATCACGTAAGCCCTTGGGGTAGGACTGTGGAAGAAGCTGTAAGTAGAGGAGCTCCACCTTCTTGCATGTCATGGAGGGACCAGGGTGGTATTGTTTATCATGGGGCAAGCTCTGAGAGTACCTGTGGGATCAACAGCTATGTGAATGAAGTAAACCTAACATCTACATCAGAAGGGATGAAGGTGCTATTACAGGCCATGTGTTATAGCCGGGATTCTGGGAGGGGCTGCGCTGAGTACCCCATGCCTTGGTAGGAATTATTATTTTACCAGTCTCTGAAACCACAGTTTTTATGTCAGTTCCACCAGCTTTCAGCAGGTGAAGTGATTTTGCTTCCATGTGCTGTCCCTTTGTATTTTGTATCTGGACTGTTCAGACAGAAGACTGGATTCTTTCATCTGTATACATACCTCCTGCCAAATACTACTCAAATACCATTTTGGAGAAATTCTTCAAATAGTAAGAGTGTATTTACCTGCCAGCTCTGCCTTAAGGTTGTATTTACTACAGATGTATTTACTACAAAACCATGTAGTTCTCTGTAAAATGAGAGACAGGATGAAGGAAGATGACATTTGATATTAAGGACAACTGAGAGCTCCTGTGGAAGTGAGGCAATAGGGCTGGACAGGTAAAAGCAAGAGTTAGGACTTGTCCCACCTGGCATGAAAGCTGCTTCGTTTCTGAGATAAGATACAAAAATAGCCCCATCTCATTCAGTCATTAAATAGACAAAAACAATTCTACAAATTATGAGGTTTTGGTAACAATGCTCTACAGCACTTCAGAGACTTCAGTGGGAAATGGCAGGTGAGAATTTGGCGGACATCACTGTTGAGCAAATAACCTTGGTCTACCCAGATGCTATTTTAAAGCTCATAACACAGCTTGCAGTGCACAAGGAGAGGCAAGCGCGTCTTTCGTATGCTCCCTGCATCTTGCATTTCATCATGCTACTCGTTCAAGACCCATTTACAATTCCATTGCCTTCTGAGCAATATATACTCATACAGGAATAGGACTTGGGTTTTTAAGCAAAAGCAATCCCACTGCCTTGTGCAGAAGTTTATTTAGCAAGATACAGACCACTAACTTCTAGCTTGACTTTTGACAGAAAATACAGGATTAATTGCAGGCACCTATCAGCTCTATACAAATGGTCAGTAATCTCTGACATAAATTACAACCCCCCACAGAGCTGTTAGAAGGCTCTGATCTTAGCTAATGTCACCATAAGATACTAAATATAATTAAATAATTCATTTAGTTTACCAGAAGATGTAAGGGCTGAGATGTACATGCAAATAATCATAATCAGAGACAGTGCTGCAAGGAAAGAGAAGGAAGTAGAAATAGGAAAAAAAGAGCTCTCATCAATCTAAAACTCCATTGCTATTCCTAGCAGGATGCTAAATGGCTTTGCTTTTTTCTACCTATCAGCCTGCCTCTCTCAAGAACTTGTGCTAACTGCTATTCTCAAAATTATCCCACCCACCTCCCAGCTACTGACATACATTCTTGTTGTGTGCAAGAGCCTGGATTAAGCTTCTAATTTATCTGCAGAAACAAGATCCCAATTCTGTACGTGCTAAGCACTCATCCTCCATGGACTTCAAGGAGAGTTGAGAGTAGGCAACTTTGTGGAGGACGCATTGCACTTCCCTCACACATGGTCTGTGGACTATGCCCAATACCATAACCTTCACCCATGAGTCATCTGTACCTCATGCTACTGATCTCACTGAAGGAATTCATATGAATAAAGGCTGCAGGATCTTAACTAATACCTGCTGGGAAGCATCTGGGTATATTATTTAGGCTAGGTAATAGAGGGCTTAATTCTCAGTTCTTTTACTCTGAAGAAAACACAATACATGGTTGTTATCAGACTTCCTGGGTGCCAGATTATCATTAAAACACATTAAGGTGAACTCTTCAGGGATGTGAGAGATGAACTGCAGAAGTACAGGATGTCCAGGATGTTCCTGGGCTAGGAGACTTAGTGGAAGATCAGGTTTCCTTCTGTAAAGTTATGCTATACCTGAAAAAAGGGAACTAAGGAGAGAAAAGCAGGAGGTTTGATTATCCTTCTTGGGCCTTTTTATTAATAACTGAAAATTTTCACTTTTTAAAGTTAATGAGCTTTCAACAATAAAATATTACAAAAAGAGTGGAGAAAGCAATGGTTTAGCATTAATTTAGATGCTCTAATCAAATCCTTGTTGTTTCCAATATTTCAGTGCCAATTTATTATGAACATAACTATTTTGTGAATCCCTGTTTCACAGTCTAAGGATCAAAAAGAATCATTTACTACTTCTGAACAAATGCCTTCACTGCTGTATAACTACATGCAGACATAAATAAGGCAAAGAATTTATGCAGTAAGGTGCGGCAGCACCCTATACACAGAAGATTATACATTTAATGGTGTGGAAAAGAGAGCAGAAAATGGGCTATTCTGCATTAATAGTCTTTACAAACTTGGAACCATATGCAATAAATACATTGTTAGGCTACTTAAATGACTGTAGCTAACTGGAGTGTAAAGACCAGAAGATATTCAGTTTTCGACTCAGTAATCTCATTGCCAAAATACAAGCCTTTGATTACTATATTTACCATTTTATACCTCCTAGATATGTCTTATGCAAAATAAATCATAGCCAACTTCACTGACCCAAATCCCATTTGCAACTAACCATCTTTAGTAATATTATGGTATGCTTGCATGCTAGTGCAGTAAAAAAAAATTATGAATCCTTTAGGGTACTGTTCACCAATTAAAAAGTGGCATATTAAACTTCTTAAAACCTTTGTAATCTGCAGTATAAAAGCACATTTTATGTTAGTAGATAATTTAGCATCTATAATCTAATTAAATGAAGTGAGTGACAACTGTATTCTCTACATAAATGATATATCTGTAACAGATAATGTATGCATTTAAGAGACTGGAACACTATCAAAAAAGTTGTTACAAATGCTTGCCCTTATCATAAATCCAAACAACATTATGGGCTAAATCCTGCTTGCCTTACTCACGTGAATAGTCACACAACTGAAACCAACTGGGAATTAAGGATAATATACATGAGTAAATCTTTGCAGGGGCAAACTGTTGGATTATTTTGTCCCTTTTAGAAAAAAAAAAACTACAACAGATCATAAACTTTTGTCATCACCTTCCATAGCTTTACAGTAAAATATATTAAAGAAACAAACAGTTATGGAAGAAATCCATTATTTGCAGGGGAAAGCACATGTTAAAAAGGGAATTTCACCTGTCATTACCATATTATCACATCTAGGTAAATAAAAAGGGGGTTAGCTAGGTTTGATGTCACTGCCACCTTTTGAAAAAAGGAAACAATTTAAAGAAAAGACAAACAAGGGAAATGTTACATGTTAATTCTCAGACCCTTCTGGAATCCATGGGAATGCAACAGGTGACTGGTTAACACAGCACTCTGTGTTAGAGAGACCTCAGACAGCTTTTGGAGATCACTCTGTAGGTTTGCACTCACACAGCGACAGCTTCTCTGGTCCTTGCAGTTGGATTTCTTTTTTCTTTTAAACCAGCCCCTTTGATAACATTGTCTTTCCTAACAGTTCTCATTTTAGCCTCACATGTGTGACGAGACAGCCGGTCTTGCTGGCAGCATTATTGGCACCATGTCTGCAGTCACAGCTTGTGATTACAGTACCTTGCAAAAGCACAGGACACCTGTGTACACTGAACTTTTCTAGTGCTTTTCCACTGTTACTTTTTAGTCATGTTACTGATGCGAAAACAGCTTCGAAAAATCAATGGCTTTAAATTATACCTTTATGCACTGAGTACACAAAACCACCACCAAAACAGGAATTCTTTTTCCATGACTGGGAAAAAAATCAATCTTGCTGATGCTACTGCTCCTTAAGTATTTTTTAAATTTATTTAAAGCTGCACCCCCACACCCACCCCTCCGGATCTGGTTGCTTTGTGCAGGCTTTCTTCAGGTTTCCTGCTCAAGAGACTAGTTTTATCTAAAAGGTCAATTCATTCAGCAGGGCACCAAGCAGAATTGAATATAATTATCCCAATCTTTACTGTGTAGAATTCATGCTTGAATTCATTCAAAAAATAGCAAGCAGTATAATTAACTCAGAGCCCAACCAAATCTATTGAGAATGCCTCAGGTATCATACAGTCCCACTTACAATAGAACATTTTCATTTAAGGACATTGTACGTATTAACCCTAGTCAGCATCCAATTACTCGGAATAAGTGAATTCTCTGTTTCAGGAATGTAATTTGAAAATGTTGTCATGCAATCTGAGGCAAAAGGTCTTTTTTCATTAATCTAACTCTCATTAAAGTGGAAGCCTGTAGGTTATTTCAAATCCATTAGTTTTAAATACAGGTGATTACAATTCTGTTGCACGTAAGACAACAGAAATGTCTATCAGGAAATATTGTGTAGTTTAAAGGGATTTGATGAGTTTGTGAATTGCCCTCACTGTAAAAAATTAAATTTACTGCCTGACCAAAACCAAGCACTGTTTACTGCTAACCTGACAATTACATAAATACTAGTGTTCAATAAAATTAAATAAAATTGATCTTTTTTATAAAGCTAAATTTAAGCAACTAGTGGAAGAACTCCAGATGATTCAAAGGTTGAGATTGGGTTCAGATAAACAAACACAGTAGCTTCTCCACTTTTCTTGAGTCTTCAAATTGGGACTACAAAAACTGAATTTCTAGGGAAGGTTAAAGCACTTCCATATGTGGTGACAGCTTGAAAAACTATAACAGGGGCGTCCAGGAATGCCTGATTGCCAAAAAGGCAGCATACACCTGGTGGAAGGGGGGTGCTATCTCCAAAGAAGAGTATACCTCCTCTGCTCGGGCCTGTAGGGGAGCTGTCAGGAAAGCTAAAGGGGACATAGAGCTAGGACTAGTGTCCAAGATCAAAGATAATAAAAAGTCCTTTTTCAAATATATAGGGAGGATGAAGAAGGCACCAGGAAATGTGGGGCCCCTAAAAGATATGCTGGGCAATCTGGTGGTTGCACCAGAGGAGAAAGCAGGCTTCTTTAACCAATTCTTCACCTCCATTTTCTTGTTCAGGGACCGGGACTTCCCCACCCTGATGCAAGACGGACTCAAGGGGAATGCCTCAAGACCTCAGGTTGGGGAGGACCAGGTTAGAGAGCTTCTGGAGGGACTGGACATGTTCAAATCAGTGGGTCCAGATGCTCTCCACCCCAGGGTGTTGAGGGAGCTAGCAGGGGTTATTGCAGGGCCCTTGGCACAGCTTTACGAGCGCTCATGGTGCTCCGGCCAGGTTCCAGATGATTGGAAGATAGCCAACGTGGTCCCCATCTTTAAAAAAGGGAGGAGGGAGGACCCGGGCAACTATAGGCCCGTCAGTCTTACCTCAATCCTAGGGAAACTCTTTGAGAAGATCATCATGGAGCACATCTG